AGCACCTTTTTGTATGGACACTTCAGGTTAAGTCTTGCATGTCAGCAAACTCTCTAGAGTCTGGTTCTCCACTAGTGCATGATTAACACATATTAAAACAATACTTTGGGATTCTAGCCAGAGGGAGAAGCAAGGATAATGTATGCATGCATGACGACCAGTGACAAAAATCTGGCTTTGCACTCTTACGGCAATTGTCCAAGATCATGTCGCTATGACTCCTCCTCACAATCACAAATGGCTGAAAGCATCCAAAACCCTTGAGTGGATGATGACCAAAAAGGGATTCCTTTCCAAGAGTGACAAAAGGATCCTCAGCATAGATCTACAGCTTCTCATATCGAAAACACACACACAAAAAAAAAACGCGCGTGCGGAGATATCTTCTGTGCCTTTCTTAATAAAGTTTGCTTCCGTCATCCTTGGTGATCTTGCGAGTCACTTTTGGGACACTCCCCACAGCTGGCGAGTCACCCAAAACCATCTGGGGAGTCTCCTCGTCTGCGGAGCAGTGCTTTGGGGTTCCATGTTCGCCCTTGGAGCCACAACAAGCTTTTGAGATGTTTCAAACAACACGTCTCTCGCAGTGTCTGCGAAATCAATCTTTCCTTGAGAATCATCCTGTGGAAGCACCAGGATAACCCTAAACCACCACAATCACTAGTCTTGACAAACGGGAGGTGTGACTCCACATAATTATTCGTGGCGCACGCGCACAACCCACGCTGACAGCTTGGTTGAAGGAACATCCTTCCCGGAAACTCACGTATCATTTCATCAAAAACCCAGCATCTTCCGCCGATCTTCCAGCCAGTCGCCCCCTGCAACTGTCCCGCAATGAATCGATTGCTACAAGACACTTCCACCATAGAGGCATTCTGTATCAGGTCGTTGTTTTCCCAACAACTACCACTTCTACCCCAGTAGTTCAGGTCCCACCACAATAATTTGACCTCCCGTTTGGAGGATGCGGAAACAACCATTGATCCCATGGGTTTGCGAGTTTCGACTCATGCCCTGGGGTTGGGGACCAACACAATCATGGAAAGCACACCTTTGGTATACAGGAACAACTGTCACAGGGGTCCCAAGATTCGGTTTGAATTCCTTTCCTTCCCCTCGTCAAGCAAGTGTCTGTCCAAATTCGGTCTTGCTGATCAAACCTTCGTTGTCAATATCCTGAGCTGCAAAGCCGTGGCCGATGTGGTGCTTCGAATTTCAAATTGAGAAACCGTTGGAAGACCTCCATGCCCTCCAAGAACGATCAACTGCATGTGGAACTCTCCACAAAGCAATGGGACCCAAGTTGAGGTGGTTTGCATTTAATGCTTTACAATCCATATATAAATCCCCATGGGGCCTACAAGGGTTTGTGGCACGAATCTTCTATGAGCCTTGTGGCACGAAGCGGCAGCTCCCCGAAGTGTCGGCTTGTAACTCTGAGGCCAGGCGCGACCAAGCGGATGAATCAATATCTTCAGGCTATGCTCATCATCTCCAAGCTGGTCGTCATCTGCTAGTCTGATCTAGTCTGCTAGTGTTTCAAGTAACCCCCTAAAACCTCAATCGATCACGTGTATCCATGTGAAGTGTCATCACCACAAACGCGTGTCATGTCATTCATCCTGACACCGACTCCCTTGCCCATCTGTGCCAGGCAACGACCAAATCGAACAAGGCATTTGCATCGCCAGGATAGTCGTGTCTGGTGAGGTATCTAACCATCCTCGGTGGAACTACTAGTCGACATGCTGCTGCAGGTCAGAGAGAGCGCCGGCCTGCGACACACCTCCTGTCAGATTCCTAAATGGTGCTCAAATCGTCACGTGGTGCTGCAGCAGAACTACCCCATTGCCGTACTCAAATGGAGCATGATGGAGCTAATGATGTTGTTCAATCTTCAAGGCATAGAGATGGAGATTCCTGCGAAAAAAGCGTCTATAGGATAATACCCTTCCTTAAAGCAAACAACTGACCTTCCAAACCCATCAATTGCCCGAAAAATCCATGGGTCATGTGTGTGTGTGTGTGCTTCAATAGGAAGACACCCTGGCCCTGGCTGGGTAGACTGCTCTATTTCCCGAACTGACCGGGATCTGAACCGGCGTCGGTCTGTTCTAAGACACACCATAGATCGATGTAATGTAGATGTACCCAAAACAACACCACCTTTAAGGGCCTTCCGATCCTCACGAACGCGTCTTTCGCTGGAACCGCTGCGGCCGAGAAGCTCCTCTCGAGTGACCTGAAGCTGCGCAGGTGCATGAAGCTTGTGGCAGTTGGAACAACAGCCATTCCACCTGGATCTCCTCCAAAGTGCTCTAGAAAATGGGACATGACCCGGCCCATATCATATATTTGGACAACTCGTATTGATGGGACTCCAGCTAGTTATAAAGGGGTGCGGAACTGAGTCGGATAGAGGTGCCCCTGTCACATCCACTCACTGGATGTGACTAAAAGCTACCCCTGTGTGACAAGCTGTGGAACATTTGCTGTGGAAAAAGCTTCAGGATTGCCCACCATCTCGTGGTAGGAGCGACAACATCGGACCTCATCTCCCGATATCACCGCCAACATCGCAGTGTGAGCTTTTATCAAAAGGGATTTTGTGGGACAATCACGAGAAATCAATGCAGCATCCCCCCTGACGAACTGATTCCTAGCCTGGCCATGTGTGCTTTGATGCTGTGTAATTTCCCAAGTTCTTTGGCATAACATTAACCAGGTGACCTCTGAGACCTGTGTACAGAATCTCAACCGTCCTGGAATAGATAGAATATGAAGCAATACAAGAACCCGACCCGTTTCCAAGTGATTTTCCATCTGCTCCAGGATGACAACACATATAATTTTGCTACAACATGTTACAAAGTATAGTTCGACTACCCAAAGACGATGCGCTTCACCCCGCTGCGCTGGAAAACAAGGAAAAAAGGAAAACACCGCCGCGCCTGGCCATCGTTGCCTCCGCCCAACTCCTCGAAGGCTCCGGTGATGCCGTTCTTCCCCTTCTTCCGGGCCTCGGCCAGCATCGTGTCTTTGTAGAACCTCGGTGGGTCAAAAACACAGGGTGTTGGTTGAGTCGGACTCGTCGAAGACACAGGGTGGTGCCTTTTTGGGTGAATAGATCCAGTTATACACGTACTGTCACGTACTCCGTTTGCGCCTTAACGGTCCGATGTTGTCGCTCACTGTCTGGAAGGATGGTGGAATTCCCAACAGGTGGGACCTGTGCTGCACGCACCAAACACTGAAGAAGGACTTCTTTGGGTTTGGGGTCAGGTCCCCCAGTGTGTTCTAGAGGAGGCATTTCTGTGTCTGCACTGTGTTCGGTGTCGCCTCCCACGTGCAGATCTGCGTAGCTCAGCTAGCCGCTGCATCTGTTCGCAACGAAGCTCCGTTCGCAAGGTGTCCAGGAGTAGAAACGGAGGCCCCCACGCCTACACTGACATCATGAGCCATGGTGAACATCATGAGCCTTCTAGGACTCACAGGACATTGGTCTAGGCCTTCTGGGTGGCCCGCACGGTTTCCCCGGCAAAACATGCTCCACCGCGCCCCGCCCCGTTCTAGTGCGACGGTCGCTCCTGCCGGGGCACTGTTTGAAGGTATTGAGTTCCTGGCGAAATGCGAAACGAAGACGGCCGGATGACTGCGGTGGTGGAGCTTCCGGGTGGACGTACCAAGGTTCATGGTGGTTCCACGCATCTTGGAACAGGCAGTCAATCTGGTACCATTGACTGCCTTGTTTCATGGAGAATTTTACTTGATCAACAGCGGACTAAAGAATTGATGGTTGCTGTATATGTTTCAACCGATCAAAGAAAAGGAACCAGAATGGGAGACCTGAAGCCCGTTATTTGACGAATGGAGACCTGTTTAACAAATGTGAGCCGCTGCTTCCAAAGACCCAAAGCACAAACTTTGCAAAACAGTTGTATAACTTACTAGCAAGGGGTTGGGGAACTCCCCATAGCTCCGAACGGCGGACCCTGGATTTGTTGGATACCCCATGGCCGTAGCTCCCTCCCTCGCTCCCTCCCTCCACTTCAGTCGCACCTTCACAGGATCTCCCATCTTCAGCTTCGCACATCGCTCACAGCTGCAGCGAGACCCCATGGCCGACTGTGGAGAGTTGAAGGGTTGGGGTGAGAGGTCCTGAGGTCAGTGGATGGACTTTCATGGAAGTAGTAACAAGTGAACTTCGTGGCATGCCAAAAAAATGTGTTAAACATCATATCAATTCATATTTATATATATAAGCCTTTAAATGCCTTTAGGCTGCCATCTTCAGTGCCGGTTCTTTGGTTGTCATCCTATGTGTGGGTGTCGGATTCTTGCATTCTCGCGCAAAGGAAGGAGGCGGTTGTTCGGTTCCTGTGACTCCTGGGGCAGGATACTCTCCGCAGTTCGAAGAAAAGAGCTCAACAAAATCAGGTGTGGTGAGATGCTTGAGGTTTACATCCTTCCGTGGTTTGTTCACCTCGTGGCAATTATAAATTATGGCTTTTATTCAAATTCCTGTTCAGCATGCCAGCTATGCTGAAGAGCCAATGTTTCGCACAACACGCACCCACCGTGCCATCATGTGCCATCCACCGTGCTGCCTGAACCGACACATGTCCTGCGCCTCGCCTGCTGGCCATGTCCGGGTGTGCTTCGCTCCCCCCACGTGGCCCGACGAGAAGCTTCCGGTCGTGAAACAAGAACTCCAACGTCCAAACGACTGGTGAGTGGGTCTTCATTTTGTCAAGCAAAGCTCAGGAAGAAGATTCCCAGGTGCCGACTGTTTAGTTCAACTCTATAGGAACGGCCTGTTTTTTTTGAGGGGGCAGATTTTGACCTACACTTCAATATAGACGAACTGGTCTAAGAATTGGTATCTGTATAAGCAGTACATCCAAGTCACTTCTTCCACACCGCAGTCATGTTCCTGTTGGGCGTGAACTGGAGTGCGACATGCCCTGACCCATCGGAGAATGAATTGTCCAAGTGACGTTGCAGCGATCATGGCCACAGGTCCTTGACAGGTGCAAGTAAATAAACATGTTAAGTATTAAATCAAGATGTCAAGTATGATCAAGTGCTATTGCAAAATGAATAGGGCGAACGAATCAACTGTTTGGGGATGCCAAATATGTCACTAAGACAACAAAAGGGCCTCTCTTTGAGTGCCCAGCGCTGTGAAAAAACAGGGTTATGTTCGAATCTTGGCGTTAAGGTCGTCTGCAGTTCCGGTGGCTGGTGTGCTTCTTTTTTTCAGGTCTGAAATGGACGTGTCACAGATGTTAGGGTGGAACATGCCACGGTCCTAGTAAGGTCCTTCAAAGGGCCTTCATGTCTTCGGTAGCTTCTCAAACCAAGGTCAGTGCGCCACGAAACGTCTACCGCTTGAGTCGGATGTTTTCGGTCGTTCGCTCCTCCGACCACCGAAGATCCCCATCACCTTTCGGTCTCATCCCGGGCGTCCCAACATGATTTCCGTCGAGGCCTCGGCTCAGAAGCCATCGTGAAGATCTGAGTGGAGGTGTCCACGGTCGTCTGGTCACCAACCCTCTTAAACACACCTTGAATTAAATCCACAAATTAAGAGACATGACAAATCCACACTTGGAGTGGATCCACGATTTCTGGACTAGGAATAAAGCTCCACAGTTTCTGGAGTGGATTGGACGAAGGGCGCCCACCCAGGACAGCTTGACACCTCTGACATATGCCGTGTAAATACTACGAGCGGAACCCAGTATCATATGCACTAAACACTGCATGGGGGAGAGAGCCAGTGATAGAATTCTCTTTGGCCCTCGGTCATGAGGCACGAAAATCCATCATCAACAGCAACAGTTGAGGAATTGGCAGGCTCAGGGTGATGATTGGATTTCCCTGCCTGCAAAGCATAAACAAAAAAAACACTCCCATCAGAGGCAGGGGAACCAGAACCATGCCCCCCATCTGTAAGCATGTTCTGTTCTCAGAATGCCTACAGGTTCTCCTGCACCACCGAACTGAACGGCGCTTCAACTTGCGCCCAGGGGGCCACACCACATGGTAGCCAATATGAAGGACCTGCCGCCGTGAAAACACGTTGATTCCACGCGCGGACAACAATTCATGACTCAACCGCCAGTGATTCTTCTTCAAAATGGTAGTGATGTGGGCTTTCTCCAGGTTTGGGGAATGTTTGACCCAAAGCAATCATATGGCCAGTTTGCAGGATGCACATGGCTGGTTTGGGAATTTGCAACTCAAATACCAGAATTGATGTTTTGTCACCCTGGATATCCTAGATCTTCCTAGATCACTATCACACCATTTACACCACCTGAACCTTCCTTCGCTACCAAAAAAAGCGCTCGTTTTGCAAAAGTGCTCGTTCAAGCAAAAAACGCTACAAACACTCAAAAATCGCACGTGGACCCCTCTCATATCCAACCCATGTTGGGGTGGTTCGCCACTTTTTAATTTGCGCTCGTTTTGTGGCAATTTGCACGCGTTTTGCGGCATTTTGCGCGCATTTTGCAAGTCTCCACCTTTGGCCCAAGAAGACTTCAGTGTTCAACATATGCTCGTTTCATTAAAACTCATTCAAAAGTGCTCGTTTCATCAAAAAACGCTACCAAACTCCAAAAAGTGCTCATTTCCTTGGTTCGCCAGAAAAAAGTGCTACGATTGAAGGTTCAGGCATGTTTCATCCGGGGTCCAATTTCTCAAGTAGGCTTTCTTCCGGACTTGAACAACCCCAAACCGTCCCTGGCGCCTCCCAGAGTGGATCATGTCGCTCGGCACGAAGGCGGAGCTCGTGGAAGTCGTCCACGAAGTTCGGGCAGAACCTGCCGCGAGCGGCGGAGCTCAGTGGAGCGCCACGCGACGCGCAGCGTGGAACACCACTTGTTTTCGATATGCTTGGGATCCATTTTCAAGGTGCATTTGGTTTGACCCCTGATTTGCATTGACTGGCTGCTTTGACTCAGAGTTCACCTGACTGCATTATATGGCATTCCTCCATTAAGTGACAAAAGCAAGTGATGAACCAGCATGGACTTGCGAAAGCTGTAGGTAGGTCGTATGCAGAAACTACAATACTTTCAAGTTTCCTTGCAGGTGGAAAACACTCATGCAGCAATGGAATCTAGGGATTGTTTGGCAGAAACCAAACGTTGTCCACCCATTGATGGGGGAAGGTGGTGGCTTCTGATGCAATCTGATTCTGATGCCTGGCAAAACAGGAGCTACAAATAAATTGACTTTCCCTTCCTTCTCCCAATACTGCAAGACCAACAGGAGTCGAAATCAACTCAAATCCTTGACATGACACAGTACGCCGCTGTTACACCATCCTATTCTCTCGATCATCTTCCAACAAAAAATAGTAATCTTGCTACATGATCAAGCAACACTCCCACAAAGAGGCATCGGAAGATGAGTCTTCCAGCTTTGCATGCCAAGCTGGGGGAAAGTGACATGCCTCTGATGAAGTCATCCATCCCCCAAGCCCGGTTAAGCACACCTGGCATCGTCCTCGCAAATCAAATAGACGTGGCTCGGGTCCTCAAAGGTTTGGAACGTTGACAGCCATTCATTGCTGAATTCTTCGGAGACATCTCAAAGCCATGGCTCGTGCATGCTTGTGCTAAGGAACCGCCATGTGTGGTGCGTCCTGATCACGAAGCACAGCATCCAGGGTGTCAAACCTGGGGGATGGGCAACACGTGACATGACAAAGCCGAGTAGGTGGGCAATGCATTTGGTGCATGGACATGTGATGCATTGATTTGAAGGCAACAGCAATGTTCACCAAAGAAAGAACCTCTCCCTGGCTAGGAGACCACTTCACCATCATCTGCGGAGCGGGGACCCTAGAAAGGTCAGCACAGCACATGTTGTTTCTCAGGTCCGCAGCAGCACAAATGGTGGAACTGTGGAACCACCATCCAGTGTCATTCAGATTTGATGCGTGTCATTCAGTGGAGACGAATATGTCCAGCTGCGTTTCTCAAAGAACTGCGTTTCTCCGTTGAATCGAGTGATATCCGATGCTTCTTGGAGAATATGTCCAGCTCTAGCTGATACGTAGGAGAAGTAGTTCCAAGCTGTTGTAGACTCTTGATTAATCATATCCCCCTTTTTGGGATTGGAAACCCTCTTCAGGGGATATATTAATCAAGACTCTACATTGATCGCGTGGATGACCCGCCCCAAGTGATTGACTGAGATCCCCGACCAAGTCCAAGCCAAGCCAATGGCCCCCTTGGTCAGCACGAAGCCCAGCACCTTTGTCCGAGCTCTTTGGGCGTCCTGGGACCCGGCGGCGGCATCCGGGGCATCGGACTTGCTACACGGGGCATCCGGTGGCAGGACCGGTTTGGACGGTTTGGATCGATTTCGAGGATTCTGCCATTAACTCTGCAATTACATATATATATATATATACATAGTAGGAAAACCGCCAAACATTCGAAGGAATCCCAAGAATATATTTAATTATGGGATCTGGATTCAAATGCGAAGATTCAGTCGGTTTGTTTGTGGCCAGCTACTGAAGGGGTTGGCCAATGCTGCCTGGTTAACCCTCCAAGTTCATACCAAAGAATCTCAGTTCGCTCACAGGTGAAGCCGGCAAAAACAAGGCAACTATTCGGTGTCCCAATTACGCCCAGTAAGCATGCTGCATGCTGGACCTACACTGAATATTTGCCTATGTCATACCAAAACCACTTGTCCAACTTGTCCTGTCAATACCTGCCACACCACCCTGATAGCTCATGATGTGCTCGTGATATGCTCATGATATGCTCATGGGATGCGGATGTTGGCAATGTCAGATCTCTCCTTCTCCGCTCCTCGATTCCTTGAGGCTCCACGATGTCCTCCGGCACCTGCCCACTGGTGAAAGAGGATGCACCAAATCCACGGTTTGAAACACAACGTGGTGTATCCAGGAGTGCAGAACCAGGGCTTTCGTCTTTTGTGCTGTAACTACTGCTGGAACTGTTATCTCTAAGAACTTCCCAAGAACGGCTCCATCCATTTCATGCCATTGACTGCGGAACACCCGGACCAACGACCAGTTGGTCTCTTGCACGCAGCGACCGACCCTTGAACCAACGCGACCGACCCACGCACCTCGGCCAGATCCAAGGACGCGCCATCGATGGCTTTCACCCACTCCACCTGCTATCTCCGGAACGGATCCAGAAACGGATCCAGAACGATCCGCTCGCTTTCGGACTTCGCGGCGGTACAAGCAGCGTTCCGGATTGAGTGGCTTTGAATGCTACAAGTAAGTTGGCTGTGGTGTTGAAGTTTCTGCTGTAGCTGCTATGCCTGAAGAGGGGTAGCAAGAAATTGAGAGTCAGCACCCTGATAAAGAAGACATTTAGCATACCAAAATCGGTTCAGAGATGTTCAGAGAGTTCAACTGTTGGCTCTGAGAGTAGGAGACACGATCTGAATATGAGCAACAAGAAGTTCCAAACCGATTGTCTAGCAGTTGCCACACTTAAGCATGCCAGGAAAAAAAACACAATAATAGGTTTACCACACTCTTCTGTTTCAGAGTTATCACACATGTGAACACTTGGGAGTCCACAAGTTGAAGAAATACACCACCGGGCCTTGCAACCAACTCAACATCCACCTCTGTGGCCGCACTGCCACACACCTCGCGCAACTCGCGCCCGAGCAGCCCGGACTGTGCCCGCGCACGGACGTCGCGCGCGCCCGCGACAGGAGCTCGGGAAAGCGTTGCAGCTGCTCCAGAAATTGCCGCCTGCGACGTCGGGCGGCGGTCCTTTCAAACGGTGCCGTCCCAGCCGGTCGCCACATGTGGAGCCGAAGAATTAATATTTGTGTTGAGGAAGTCTGACACGTTGTCGTTTCTCAACGTTGTCCACACAGAAGTTGACACAAAAGAATCGCTGCCTCGACATTACCTGCTATCTTCTCTACAACACACCACCGCCAAGCGGTCTACTAGTGCGTCTTTGGTATGGTGCTTGTGAAAAGCTCTGGGCACCATCGCAAAATCCTTTTCTCTCACTCTGCAGCTGCCAAGTACCAAAACACAATATTAAGATATATTGAGTTGCTTCGCGACGCCGTTGAAGCCTCTCCTCTGGTCATGTGATTTGCTGACTGTCACTTGACCTGTCACTGTCACTTGGAAGTGGATAGGGCTCAGGTCCACACAACCTTTGCCCAGAGTCTTCAAGCGTCCAGTTCGAGACATCGAAAAGCGCGACTGAAGCTTTCAATGATTGGACGTCGAAGATGCTCTGCAAGACTTGGATGCTGGTCTTGATTGGCCACTTTTTCCGACACAATAGAGGACGTGTCACACCGAACAAAGACAACCAAATCTCATCAACATCTCTCGTCCATGTCTGAGCATTCTCAATCTGATTGATATGTTCAACAAACTTGTCCACATCTACCAGGATATATTTGTCATTAACCCAGGACTTGATGTTCTTGTCTACGTGAGCTGAATAGATGCGTGTTTCGAACTTGCAAGGCTCTGCACTTTGACACATGACGATGTTGAAAAAGTGCGAGAAGTGGCCCTGGTGAGAAGGATCACTGGCCTCTCTGGGATTCTCTTGAGCAAATATATCTGTCAGCATCACTGTGAGCGTCACCCCTGCATCTTCACATTGCCGGAGGATCTCTTTGGCAGCTTCCACTTCCATCTTGAGAACATTCTCAGTGGCGTTCGGCTGCTTGGGAACACCAAAGTCACCTTGCAAGCTCTTGGAACTGAATTTCCTCTGCTCAAACTTGGCGTCCTCGGTGTAGGGGGACCCCAGCATCCCCACCAAAGTTGACATCGCCTTGCATCCACCTAATGGATACAATGTGGCTGGCTGTCCGAGACATGGAGGAAGGCGCATGGGGCGACCACGTGCAAAGTCTTGGAGGAAGGCCTTCGACAGTACAATCCCTTCAAACACTCCGTGAATTGCCGATTGAAATTCTTCTCCTTGCGACAAGAGATCGCAAAGCGCCGCATGAAACTGTGTGCCAAGTGTGTCTGGCATCTTGGCATCAAAAGTTTCTCCTGCTTTCCGTGCATTGGAAAGCATGCGCTTCGCTCGCATGAAAGGAAGGCCACAAGCTTCTGCCAGTTCTTTCACGGTCATCTCAGGGTTGGCTTGCCGCGCTGCGATCAACTGGGAAACTTCCGATGGTTTCTCAGTTGCCATCGAATCAAATTCTCGTGCCTTGAAAAATCCTAGGCTTGGCAGGCTGTCACACCTTGGGCCAATTATTGTCGTAAAGGTTCAGCAGTGTACGGCCATGTATGACATGTTACATGGGTCTTGTGCATTCTTGTGCCTTTGTGACGTGCACATGTTTATTGAGATTGGATGATTGAAAATCCATGTCTTCAAGAATTCCTATAACTCTTCGGGATCGCTTCTGCCGCTTCCGACACGAGGAGCAAGAAATCCCACCTTCGCACGGCTTGCCGAGCCAGGCTGAAGAGCAGAACACGATGGATCTCGTTGGGCCTGGCGCCGGGAGGAGCCCAGAAACACACAGGAACGCATTTAATATGCCCTAAATATATGCTCTAATCAGGGTTTCCGGACCCACCATTTTTCATGGTCTTTAGACAACAAAACCATGGATTGGCTGAATTGAACCTACAAGTGACTACAACACCAGCTCAACCTTTCGTTGAATGGTTTTGGAAGGCTATAGCGGCTAGTCTGGACCCTTCACACCTGCGGTTTGCTAACTATAACCAAACAAGATCGACTAGGGCTAGGGCTGCAAAAATACCCCAGGCTCAGGGATAAGTCCACAAGCTCGCAAGAGGAAGGAACACACACCCTTTGCAATAAATGGAGCAACTTGCCAATTGAACAATCTTCCAAAACAAGGTTGCCCTGGTAAGTTGTGGAACCAAATCATTAGGGCATGAACAAAAATCCACACATCTTGCATTCTTGTCGCGAGGAGATGTCCTTATACAGTAATCCTGTCCAACATGGATTACTCCGTGTCCAACCCTCATCAACCTTCTTCACCCTCTTCGTTTCCACCCCAAAAAATGAAGGTTGTTGAGGTTTCCAACCCTCTTCAGCAGGATGATTAGCCCTTCTTCACCAACACATGGAGGTTCCCCAACTCGTGCCCCCACGGTGACCCGTCCCATCCCCTCGCCTCTTCGCCGGCGCGGTGCGATCACCTAGTGCTCCGCGGGTGCGACGCGGTCCAGCGCGGGGAGCGGCACGAAGCATGTGGGGTCGAAGTCCACCAGATCTCTTCAAGCAAGATGGGGTCTTCTTGCTTGAGATGGTGTTGATGGCGACCCCACATTGGGATTTTTGTTGAGGATGGTGTTGACCATTTGCTTCAACCAATCAGGCGAAGCCATCAACCAATCAGAAGGAAAAGTCATGACAATTCAATGATGGCATTGAACATGATCTTAGTCCCATAGACTATATGAGGTCTTCTTTACTGTGGAACTGCGCCCATCCCACCCTCCCCTCCAAGCGCTTCCACTCCCGGTGGTTGCAGTTCCCGTGGCTCCCTGCGCAGCTCTCGAGCGCGCTGGAGCAAAGGGCGCAGGGGCGACATGGCGTCGTTTGGCCCTCCGGTTCGGTGGAGAAAATCCCGTCCTCTTCGGTTCGGTGACCATAGGTGACCCGAAAAAGGACCCGGTCAACCGGTATCGGATAGTCGAACCTTCAATTTCCTTCAACCTCTGAGTAGATACAAACCTAAATGGTGAACTCTATCCGCTGTGGACGGCAATCAAAGTGTGAGGCTGCGGACGACAGCCGTGGGTTCATCCTGCTTCATCATGCTTATTCGTGGCTGTGTTGTCTGATTTTCCGTTGGTTTGTAGCGGTTGGTTCGTGGTTTGATGGTTAACGGTTAGTCGTAGTGCTATTGGTAAAGGCGGCAGTAGAGGTAGTGACTTAGTGGGTGGTGGTAGTAGTGCTGGTGGAATTTGCTGCTAGATTGCTGCTAGTATGACAGGGGTCTTCGTGAAGAAGGCACCTCCTCGATGGACCTCATGGATGCTGTCAGTGGCTAGTGACAAATAGTGAGTGCTTCTCTGGCCTGAGATGCACTTCATGCATTTTTCTGGCACTGATTGGTGGTGGGTGGTGCTCAGTAGGCCATGGTTGATCTTGAACTATCACCATGTTCATGTTCATTAAATTGAATGTTTTGGAATCGTTTCGGAAAGCCAGGCTCATAGCTTCGAATTATGCATACTTGTTTCATCCCATTCTACATGATCAGTTGCTGGTTCTTAAGTTAGGAAAGAATCTTCTATCTGGAGGCGGCCAAAATTAGGAACGCACACACACAGTTTATATATATATACATATATAGCACTATGAGACTATATGTTATATATATATATGACTTATATATACTTATATGACTGTTTCCCTCCCTCAAAGCGATCCTGAAGTAGTTTTGAAGTGCCTGGTCAGTTTTCTTGGTTTGCATGACAACTGATAAATGATGATAGATGCACTGTAGAACTCATCTTTCTTCTCAAAACCAGGGAAAATCAAAGGAAATCATCCGTTTATGCCACTACTCCCATGAGTACGCGTTGTCTTCCTGCCGTGCCCCTCCTGCCGCTCCTCGCTCTGGTTGTCAGCTCAGTTGCGAGGCGTTGGCGTCGTCGAGGTGAATGCACCGAATTTGGTCGTCGACCGTCGATGGACATCATGCACAAAGCGAACAACAACTACTTTGCTGTGCGGCATGTACAACTGGCATGTACAACTGATGCAACGAACAATGAGTTGCTGAACAAAAAGGATTTGGACATCTCGTGGTGCAAAGTTCATGGGACATCAACGGGCCTGAAAAACCTCAAAGAGACCTCAACGACCAGCGACCAACACGATTGGTTCCAAAAAACTACAATCGGGCAGCACGCCCCAAGGCCAATCATGGGCCACCTCCCTCCTGCACAATTCACAGCCATCTTCATCTTGGCTCAGTCATCTTTCGTCTCTTCATTGAGACGGCGCCTTAAGGGTTTCAGCTCCTGACGGCTTCAGTTGCGGGTCAAAAAGCCTTTTGAGGATCAGTTGGTGGAACGGTCTGGTGTACCCTAGTGTAGTCTCTCTGCTTCATTACTTGTGTGCGTGTTTTTTTTTTCCCGTGGGGTGGAGGGGCAGCAGGGGCAACTGATTGTTTTCCTCATCAACTCGTCCTGATCTTTCACATCAATAGAGGTGCCAGCCGCACTTGTGATAATGATTCAACAACAATTTCTTTACTTCGAGTGATCCCCACCATGACATTTCAATCATTTGTTTTCATGCCATGGTGAGAAACATGTTGCCATGGCCTATGGTTGTGGTTTTCGTTTTTGGTTGTGGGTCCTCGGGTTTGGGATTATTAATATTTTAGTGTTAGGGTGTTTGCACCGGGGTGTTGCCAGGGTCTCCAGGTCAGCATGCACAAGCGCTACCCTGTGAGCACTTGCCACGCAAAATGCCACACACAGAGGTAACTATATTGTCGTGGTTGTGTGGTTGTTGTGTGTCTGTGGTTGTGTATAAGGTTCTGTGGTTGTGTGGTTGTGGTTCTGTTCTGGGAGATGAACCTGTAGATGTATGTGATCTGTGCTGTCTGCAAGTCGTGTTTCCTCTACCCCTCAAGTCCTTGCATGACTAGACTGATACTACCAACTACCAACACACAATTTTCAGGGTAGTGGGGTAGCCCATTTTCACACAACCCCACACTCTGACAACTCCAAGGCTTTTGGGGCTCAGGTCAAAGCAATAAAGCTAACAAGTAGGGGGCCCCGTGCTTGTTTGAGAGCTAGGGCCAGGGAGAGTGTTGATTGTGTGTTTGTGGTTGTGTGTTTGTGATTGTGTGCTTGTGATTGTGTGTTTGTGATTGTGTGTGTTTGTGGTTGCGTTTGCGGTTGTGTTTGTGGTTGTTTGTGATTGTGCTTTGTTTTTGGCTATGTATGTGATTGTGTGTTTGTGGTTGTGTTTTGTAATTGTGTTTTGTTGGTTGTGTATGGTGTATTGTGTGTGGTTATGTTTTTGGTTGTGTGTTGCGTGTTGAGGTCCGGTAGTGCCCACAGTGATCTGGCACTTGCAGTTGATGTCCGTGCAGCGCCCAGTGCGATCGGGAGCTGGCGATTGAGGTGGCGCGGAGGAGGAGGAGGAGGAGGAAGAGGAGGAAGAAAAAAACTATGATACAATCTAACAACCCTCAGCTGGCGAAGGGGAGCAAGCGCGACCCATGACCCGATCCATAAAACTCACTTCAGGGACTCTCCGGAAGCTCATGACCAGTTGTGAGGTGCTTGCATTTGCATGGCGGGAGCTGCAAACATCCTCTTCCACTGGAGGCTTCTCTTCCTCTGCTGCCTGCACAAACAATCCAGCCAAACAAGGATACCAACTGCTTGGGAGGCCAAACTTTAAATAGGTTCGATCTAAGAATGATAGAATTGATTCGATCTGTTATTCAACGGCCCACACTCGGAGGCTCATCCCCTTATCTGCACAGGGTACCAGGCTGATTCGCCCGCCCTCACGCCTGCGCTCGTGGCCAGGCACAGCGGGCTACCGAGCGGCCGACCTCAAGGGCCTCAGAACTGCTGTGGAAGAGCCAACATAGAGTGCAAGAATGCTCACATATATGCTTAATTACTGCTTCTCTTTGTCATGTGATTTTTCTTTTTTTCCGTTGGAAGTGAGACATGATCTTTTGTGGTGAATTTACAAATCGGACATTATCGCCGATTGGTCAGGCAAATTACAACACAGGAAATCGATGGCACGGCGACGAACGCCGTGGTTTTCGGTTGACACCACGTCGCCGTGGTCAACTCTCAGCCCTTGACATTTGCGCCCCGTTCTCGGATGCCGCCTCAGTTGAGGAGATGCTTCGAGCACGTCTTATTCAATTGGATATGTCACAAACAACGGCACAGGGTCAAACACGCAACTATTAAATATATTGATTTCTAGCAATACCAAATTTACCAAGACCATTGATCACAAAATGTAGAATGAATAATAGTGCAATGCAAAGTACGTCTCTCACGATTGGAGCGTTTTTCTGGGCGTTTGTCTAGCCTCAAACAACACAAATTACATAGATACCAACTCATATTCAAGGAGCAGAAATAGTCCAAACACCGCGAACTGTCGAATGCTTGGTGATTCCTCATACTCTCCGACCTCCAAACCCAGCAATGAGGGATGGAAGAAGTTTGGCACCCAGCTTGGCACCCAGCTCCAAAAGCTGCCCAAGGCTTTGATCATCCCATTGTCATCCGACCTCGACCGTGAATCACTAGGCGGTCCAGGCGACCGGGTTGACCAGGCGACCTAGTCTTGCCTAGTCTTTCTGACGCGTGAAGTTTTTAGGCCTTTGATTTAGAACAGTCGTAAGCTTATGAAGAATCAAACAAGATTCTGCAAACAAAATGATTGGGGTCAATGTACAAGTAAACAACAAAACATAACACACAAACATGATCATATTCAGCAGGAAGTTCGGAAGGAAAGGGCAACCAACATGTGCTAAAACATGAGATCTGCATATATCATGGATGACTATACATGCTCACCAATTTATATAATTACATGCGTTGACCGCGCAAGGAACTTACAACATTTAAGTGCAAACTTCTCTTGACTTACGCATGGGTCGAAACCAAACAAACAACATAGGTGGCAGATGGTTGCAGTCTCTGCATGTATAGGATTCATTTGTTCGTTCTCCACTCGCATGTACATGCATGTACAGGGCTTTGACCTCCAAGCTTTAGCTGCTCTACGGCAACGCAAGTGCGAGACTTGGCCAAGACACATGGTTGCTCTGGCTGCAGCCTGTGACGCTGAGCGATGCAGGCTGCACTTGCAATTATTGTTTGGCATACGCAACATGCGTGGAAATGCGTGGAATTCATAGGGTGATACGCCACCCTCAGAAGTTGCGTCTGCAATCTCTGTGGTCTCATGCATTTTTCAACGGATGTGCGTTGAGACACACTTGACGCTTTTTGAACCAATGAGAGCAACAGTGTTCCTGTATTTCACTTGGCTGATCTCATCAGCTTGCTCACATGTTCCCGCTCCTGAGCTCCTTCCCATTCCCCAACTCTGGCCGTCACAGCAAAACAATAACGCACAAACGCTCTGGACCAGCAGCGCACGAAGCCGCGAACTCTGGCCGCCTCCAAGGTTTTCAATCGCCGTTCGTAGAGTTCCTGTGCCTGCGAACGTGTTGGGTGACGCTAATTTCAGTGCCGTCTGGGCAGGGGAAGTACCACCGAAGCGGATGAACAGCTCCATCTTTCCGTCCATCTTTCCGTCCATCCGCAACAAACAGCCTCCATTGGTGAGGCTGTTTCAGTGAGATGACGACCATCGATGGATTCAGTGGGTTAGCTTTCCGTCGCCACATGCTCTGAATTGCGACCATGTTCCGAATAACAGGTGGTGAACTCCACCTCCCATGATTGCTCCCCTGCATTGACATGGACCCCCAAACCCACTTGGTTGGTATTCGGAAAATGGTCAAAACCACGGGTGAATTCTCAAGTTCCATGTTACCCTGGAATCATGAACAGTGGTTTGTGGAGGAAGATATAGTTTTCCAGTCTGGTCCATTTTCAGGTTCCTTGTGGGTCTATTTCAAGGAGTGCACCTGATGAGTCCACCCGCCACACCAGCCTTGACCATGCGCAAAACCTTCTGCTGCTCCAGCGCGCGCAACGAGGATCCCAGGCGCAGCGCCCGGTCCAAGGGCACGGATCGAGGGAGTGCCAACAAGGCCTGGCGGGTTGGAGCATCATGCATGGAGAGGTGTGTTATCTTTTGCTTTTACTCAAAGCAACGAAGGCACATGGTTATGAAGGATCGTATAAGTTGTATGTATATTATATAGATATGTGATCTTGAGTGCATGCTTAAAAACAATAGTGCTTATCATAAAGATAATCATAGCTGAATCAACATGCGAATATGGCAACATGTCAAGTGTCTCGTTTTAGCTACCATGGAAACGAATGAGAGGCTTGATGTCAGCATGAGAGGCTTGTTTCAGCTTGACCCCATGCATCTGTTTTCAAATGGATTGATCCGTTTCCTGATTAAGTGTCAAACCACTAGATTCTTCAACACCGATTCAGCTACACTTGCCACAAAAGAATATTCCTAAACCACTGCATGTCCATCTACTTGTGACCAGGTGGCTCCCACCGACCCGGGGACCACGTCCTCCGCTCTCCGCTCTCCACTCGGACCGGCCTCGGCCAAGGCCTCGGCGTCGGACTTGAGGCGCAAGAGCTCCTGACGCCTCAGCAGCAGCAAGGCGCATACCACGTAGTCACCTCAGACAGGTCAATGACTTATAGGGAGACAGGTTCATGACTGACTCGGGAATGAGGAGGAGACAGGGGGGGCCAGGCTATGTGGTGATGTGGTTATGTGGTGCGTCTTTGTGCATGGTTTGAATGACATGTAGTAGCAAACTTGTGATGTTGGGTCAGAACTCTGACTATTTTATCCAGCACCTGATTTTATGTGATCAGAAGTAGGTCCACAGAAACACAGGGAATGCTGTAGAGACTCCAGGTGCTTCTGATGTTTTCAGCCCAATTCGATCCAAGCTGCAAAAGGCAAATCCCTGAGAATCTGCAAGGACGGCATCCTAGGCGAATCCGGAATTGGCCAGATTAAAAGAAACAAACAAACACCTGCATGGTTGTTAGTCGATGAACCGGTTGGTGAAATTGAATTTTGTGTCGACAAAAGCTACAAATATATAAGTCTTCCTTGAACAGAAAGCTTTCAATGTTGGTTTAAATACCGTAAATACAAGGAGCTGCTTTTGAATCATGCTTTGCCAAACAAGGCATTTGCAATCTTCTGCCTCGACCAAGGTGCCCAAAGCTGAGCACAGCTCTCCAAAGGCAAGCCACTGCGCGTGCAGAAGGCTTCGCCCAAGCGGGTGGCGACAAAGACCATCAAGCCCTGATGATCCCTCAGATGACTGGTTGGTGGTTTCAACGATATCGAATCAAACAGTTACATGAGCCAGCGGGTGAAAACTGATCCCAAGTACCGTTGAAAATAGAAATATCCGGAAGCACCAACTAAATGATGGTTTTTCCAACCGCCTTGGGATGTCCACCTACGCCACAGGGTACACCCCTACAGGTACCCCCCTGCCGGTCCTTGCCAAGTTCACCTCGCGAAAATAGTCCCTACAGGGACCTCCAACAAAAACACTGAAACCAACATCCTCGCAAGTCTACCAGCAACACGTGGGCAAAAACAAAGGTCCAGAGATGTCCAGAGTCCTGCCCTCCTCCAAAGTTGAAGCTCTGACTGCCAGAAGTTGAGTGCCCCAGCATGCTCGGAATTACAAAACAACGAAAACAACAAAGCCAGGAGATCGGTCGCTGCAGGTGGAGAAATCATCAATCACATGCCGCACCCTTGTTGGACCCAAGAAGGATCAAAGGGAACCTTTGGAACCAAGTCACACCACAAAGAACAGCATGGCTTCAGGAATCCGGATCAAGGTGTGACTTTGTGGTTCAAGGTATGATGTGGTATACCATTGAGGTGATACCTTTTGTGTGATACCACAAAGAATCCAGATCAAGGTATCACACAAAAGTTTTTTTACATATATACTTGAGAGAGGAGGGGGTGAACGAAAGGTAGCAGGCAATCACAAGCAACCCTGGTAAAAGTCCATGACGGCGTGAACCGGCGGAGGGGTGATTTGATCCATGGGGGGGGCCCCCCCCCCCCCCCGGACGAACAGAATCAACTCTTAAAGGACCAAACTCAATGCACAATCCCAACTCCTGATTGTAATACATTGTTGCTAAAGCAAGGAGAACTCAGGTAGCTCAAGCTACCTTTCGTGATATATATATATATATTTAGATCTATTTATATATAGATGGTCGGCGCATGTCGGCCCATGGCATGTGGCGAACGAACCCCATGGAAACGCACCCCAAACATCGACCAAGACCATATAACCATATATATATATAAATATAAACTACCTTGACCCAACCCTTCACCTCAGTCCCAGTCGAATGTTTGGACACCCAACAAGCCCGACCATGACACTCAATGAGGTCGACCCGAAACGCCTCCCAACCGAGCGACAAGACCTCCACCAGATCCGGATCATAGGCTTTCAGCAGCTCGTGAACTCGACGTGCACGGAAGGTTCTGGTCTGCTCGTCATCACCCGCCTTCATCTCAGTCAAGAGCCTGACATTCAGAGAAGGTGATTCTGTAAGCAGGCAAATCAGCTTCAAGCTAGGAAACATAGCAAGCAGCTAGTAAGGGACAATCAATTCTTTCACAAGCTGCTTGTTTGCTATATCGGCTTTGGGGCTGAGTGGAGGAACCTTCTCTTTGTTTTCTCACTCGCATCTTAGGCTTCTCCATGATAAAACTTCTTGCACATAGAGTCAGAGTCCTCACACACTAAATCACAGCTGAGGATGCACTTATGTTGTTTGGTTGCTATGATATGTTTGCTGTAGCTATTGCAGCCAAGGAACTGGAAAAAACACCAAAAGGCATCTGTCTCTGCTTCTTCCAAGGACTCGCTGTCCGGTAACAAGCCTTGCAGCTTTAGGCTCAATGAGCCAAACCAAAGAGCACCGTCAGTAACCGTGCTCATGGGGATGCTGAACTAGGCCACCCATCCATCTGCCAAGGCAAAGAAAGTGGCGAAGAAGAATGAACCACCATTTTTTTGGGACACGCGATTCCAAGCAACCCCTGACCCGAACACATATGTTGTCGTTGGTTTGATTCAGAATCGGATGACCATCGACTAAGCAGCTCAATCTGTCAGCCCATTGGTCCGTTTTAGGGGGGTTAAGGGGTCACACCCAAGGTCGCCCAAGTCAAATCGTTTAATGTCTTGTCAGTTGTTCACATCCCCAAGTTCAACAGCATTATACCTTATGCCATCCTACATCCAGAATTCAACTTATTAGATCTCATCTTTGAACACATACAACCCTCCATCCAACAAACATAGAAGTGGAGTTCACCCCCTATAGGAAAACGATCTTTTTCCAGCGACATCCACTTCCATGTTTGTTCACCCTCACGAGAAAGGACCCTTTATGTGGAACCCTCATGTATTACAGCAATGAGTTTCCACAACCTTCTAGGCTCTTTCCCTCATGCGTCACGAGCCACCGAAGATCAGCAGTGCGGCGATCTGCACGGCGCCGCGGAAGAGGCGCCCCTGGAGCGAGGCATACGCGGTTCGACGGGGCACGCGGCGAATGCGGTTCCTGAAACATCAAGTGCCCACCAGGTGTGAATTTGGACCATGTCCCTGGAGTCCATGGGAAGGTGCCCCAAAATGGAGAAGGATGGAAGATCCGTGGACCATTACATACTATTGCACTGGACAGTGATGGCATGGCAATCCGGACTTGCAATCAAATAAGCAGCCCAGTGCAGCACCCCTACTCGTGAAGTCACACCTGTTCTGGTCGAACAACACATGGTGTCCCAAAGAAAACTTCTGGACCCAAACCGTCCATGCTCTGTTTGACTCACCTTCCAATCACTCATCATCTGATCAGCCCACAGCCGTTGGCCACACGTCGCGTGAGAGGTTGGTGGGTTCTTTCACCAGACCTCCCTTCACCGACCTCACGCGCGTCACCATGACCGACACCCAGGACGTCGCCCGGAGTGCCTTGGGAGCGCTGATGGTTTGCGCCACGGAGGCCTCGGGGTCCGCTGATGGTGGAACAGCGGAGGTCTGGAGGGATTCAGCCGAGCCATTTGGAGGGTGGCTCCTTTGGCTCATCTGGCCAGGTGTATTGGATCGATATGAAGCAAAACAGTTTTGATCTTCAGTCGCTTGCAAAGGTTGCGGGGGATTTGGCAGGGCCTTCAACTTTGGCTTGTTGCTCCTGGCCGCCGGAAACGCCATAAATTACCAGGATTTACCAGGTGTGTTGGTTCGAGGCCGAAAAAAGTTCGGTCGGCTAAAGTAGATGTTTACACTCTCAGAGTTTTTATGTTCTTACCATTGATCTTGAACACCCTTGCAAGACTTCGGAAGGATACGGAACACGATTCAAGGAGGTGAGGCCTGAAAACATCCCGAGTTTTGTGGGAAGCCCGGTACCCCAAAACATAAATAATAGGCCCAAAGGGTGTCTGTCTTGCCTGAAAACGGAATGAACACATTGAACTTGCGGCGCTTGAATGTGCTTGATCGCCAAGGTGCAATCGCATCGGACAAGTTCTCTGTACACATAAAGGCCTCTCCTGGCACCGTAGAGAACAAATCAGGGCGACATCCACACACTTGTTCAGCCTCTTGGGCGGCGATATCCACCCAATGGCGATCATCCTCCACCGTTGCACAAACAGTTCTGGGCTTCTCTCCAGTTCCATATGCACATATAATGAATTAGGTGTTGTAGCAGGAGCTTTGCAGTAGTTCCCTTTTCCCTAGACAAATCTTCCATCTTCCAAACGACGCTCCAACGACGCTTCTCCCAGCGACCTGCGCGACCGGCGCTCGGACCTGCAGTCGCCGGGTCCGTCCTTTCCAGGCGACCTTCAACTCCGACTGCAGCTCAGAGCGGAGCTCCTTGGCCTGGGGTCGGTCGCTAAAGGAGTCATCCAGTATCTCGCTGCCTTTTTCCGCTCAACAGAAACGTTTGCCCGTAAACATGTATCAAACTCCCCCAAAAGCAACCTTCGAATGGTTTCTTGAACGATCAACTGGCTGGACTGCCTGCAGTTCAGACGTACACCACGTACTATAGCGGTGCCAGATGATTGAGCAGGAAACCACAGCTTAGGGGAAAAACCACCAAACAACCAAACAAAGAACAAACATGTCCAAACTTTCCAGCTGTTCTAAGAAAGCCGTGGACCCTATCTTTGTTTTGCAAACTTCCCAATCTCCACCAACACTGACACACGTCGCGCCCAAACAAACATCTCGCCTGGTCAGCCATCAAAGCACGGGAACGTAGCTCATTGTAGCCCTGGCGCGTGCGCGCCGGGTCCGGGCGGAGCAGCACGGAACGCCACTGCCTGGCAAGCGACGGCCAATGACTGGCACGGAGACAACAGGCTGTTGGTTGGCTCGTGAGGCTCATGGGATTCTGCAACGGCCCGCTCTATAGATTGCACAAGTTGGACACAGTTGATTCACAGAACTTTCTCCCACTTGGTGAGAGACCCAGAGGTGAATTTCACATGACACTTTCAATCACGGATATCTATCATCGATAATCTTTAGTCTTCAGCAGGTTCTCGTCCATCATCGTGCTTTGGATTTTTCTTGAACTTCGACTGCATTCAAATTCATCACCATCAAGCCCCTACCCTCGAGCGCGTTCCCCAGGCCCTTAAAAAAGGGCACGGCACGTTCCCCGGCCCCCTCACCTGGCCCTTTTGGCTGGGTCCATCTGCAGGCGTTCTGCTGGCGAGGATCGCATCAACCAAATCAACGCCTCGAAGTGCGAGAGCCGGTCCTGGAACGGCGACGGTCAGCTGGTGCTTGGCGGGCCATATGTGGCCATATGGGGCGCAACCGGGCACAAGTCTGGTGTTGAACAAAAGCCATCAATTCACCAATACAATCAATTTCTCGATTCTTTTTTTGGCAGCTGTGCTCAATCCGGTTCAAGTTCGGCTCTGCTCGTCTCTTCAAGAGTCTTCTTCGGTCGTTCCATCGTTCCCTCCGGTTCCCTCCTTCTCACGGATGGAGTTCCACAGGTCCGCCACATGACCCTCAGAGTCACCATAGAATTGGGCGATTTCGCTCCTCGGCATCACGATCGACATCGAACAAAGACGAAAACTCGCCCAGCACTGTCCCGGCCCAGCACCTGCTCACTGTTCTGGGGTATTTTTTCTCTTGAACATCGAAGACTTGCTGATACTTATACTACTGTGTGCATTCCAGTATTGTGCAGGGATGACCGTTGACATCCGCTGGCCGTTTCATCCATATTTCATGTGCAGCATGCCAAGCATCGGGGACTTCTTCGCATGAGTCTCCAAGCTTAAACGACTCCTGCGCGCGGCTTGAGATGGTTTGAGCAGGGTCACAGTGATGAACATAACATCAAAGGTTTTCAGGATGTTTCGGGGTGAATGTCTCACCCATACAGCACGCTGAAATGGAACCCCGGTCAAGTGGTGTACTTCACGGGAGCCTTGCTGCATGTTCTCAAGGTTCTGACTCTCCAGCCATGCTCTAATATCTATAGCAAAGTCATCAAGCTTGGCCGTCCTTCAACATGAGAAGTTACCAGATCTAGAGCCATTAAGTGACCAATTTCTGGTCTATTGTTCCACTGCCTTCTACAATTTTGCCACTCACTATGCCACTGATTCCCACTGTCCTCTCGTGCAAATATGCCACCAGCGATAGCCGCAGGGCTTCCTCTCGGTTAGACGGCGGCCTCTCTGGCCGCGGACTCTCTGCCGCCTGTGGCGCCGACGTGCAATCGACGAAAACGAATGACCAGGACACGCGTTGATGCGAACATCTCTCAAGAAAAATTGGTAACGGTAAGTACTGCCATGGAAAAATTCATCATTCCCTCCGTACCTTTGGATGAATAGATGAATGGACCGGTTCTGCACCTTTATGGATGTCTATGTCCCACGCAGCGTCATCTGTAACGAAAACAAACAGCCGAAATGATGCCGGAATCACCCGGCCGAATCAAACAGCCACTTATTCGCGAAATCACCGGAAGACGTGGGTACAACCAAATAGCCTTTTCATGTTCTACACGGCCATCAAGCCCTGATCATGGATGTGGACATGTTTAGATGCATGTATAGAACCATCGGAACAAGTGGAAGATGACACGAACCACACAAGATCAAACCCAAATCTAAGAAATACACATCTTCCGTGAAGACTGCGAGTTCATGTCTGGCGACCCTGACTCAGCTTGACTCGGTTGTGCCCACCAGCCTCAGGAGCTTCCTGTTGAACCGGGTCTACCGTGCCACTTGGAGCGCTGGGTTTGACTGCAAGACCCTCCACAAGGCCCGATTCCTGGCGACGAGCTTGATCTGGACCTTACTCAACTCTCTCCCGGACTCCCTCAGCTTCTTTACATCTATTATGAAAATTATACCATTATATGACGATTTTTTGCTAAACCATACCCCAAAGGACGGAACATGCCATTCCCCACTGAGTTTTTGGTCTTCTAGAATCCCCCCGGTCGATCCCCCCAGCAGCGACCCAGCACCGACCCAGCGCCGCGTCGTCCTCAGAGCGTGGGGAGACGCTGGCGGCGGTGGATTGTGAGCCCAGGCTTTGGCGTCGAAGCACCTGCATTTGGAGCGGTACATGCTGCTCCTTGTGCTGGCAACCTGAGCTTTCTTGTTCCAAGAGGAGAATACCTCAACACATTGCAAAACAAAGACTGGTTGACCCAGTAGCTTTTGTGATTTGACCCCAAACAGCTTGTGTTTTGTCTTGCATCAAACTGAAAGGGGCTGCACCATGGCACCTCCGGATCTGGAAACCGTTTAGGATCTGACCCTATACCGTTTAGATTCGTCCATGGTACGACCGTCGTTTTCTTAGACACGCGAAGGTTTTCCAAACGGAAGTCGGGACATGTGCCGTGCCAGTCGCATTGAAGCGCTCTCTCTTCTACACGTTGTGTCTGGACTGTGCTGTGGGTTGGAGGCCATTGCTATGAGGCTTTAGACGCCTCTTTGATCCACTGGTTCATCATCAAAAGGTTCACCTGCAACATCCTGCTGCGCATCCACCCCCACCGGCTCTTTTCAGCGAGACATCGACATCATGTTCTCCACGTGTTCTCCGCGTGCTTGTGCGGCACGCAACCCGGCAACGCCACACCACGCAACCCCACGCAACCCATTCGTGGCACCTTCACTTCGTGCTGAAGCTCCTCAATCTCATCCTGCTGTTCATCCATGTGTTCCTCCGACTCCTGGCGACCCGGCGAACAGCGCCCTCGGCCGTGCGGCCGGGCACGTGTTCGGCGTAAGCCGATGGGTCGGTGTTGAGATGTGACTGTGCAAAGATCACCTGCAAACATGTGTTGATTCCTCTTCATGCAAACATAAATGCCATCATATTCAATGGCCAAGTAGGTGTAGACTATACAATGGAGCACCAAGACTGGCACACAAACAAGTCTCAGAAATCATTTCATATCATCTGATGTGCTAGTCACCATTCGGCCCACGAGTTTCGCAAGGGGCCCTCTCACGCGAAAGGGCGCATCTCCGTCTCACGGATCACGGCGCATGAAAGATCGTGCAGCGTCACTCACATCACTCTGGTGCTGGCCTGCAGCTCCATCTGGCAAATGCGAATCAAACAATGTCTCTTCTCTTCTTTGCTCAAAGGCCAATCCAAAGCTCCTCAAGTGTGGCAGCTCGGGGACCAGGGAGGGCACCACAGCTTCCCGGTGAGAGCCACGAACGAGTCATCGGAGCAAGCATGCTCGATTCTTTTGACCTTTGAACATCTTAGAAAACACTCAATATCACTCAATCATCATAAGATGCATAGTTTTTCGTATTCTTCATCTTGAACCGCCCTGTTGGATGTATAGATATGATGCAGCTGAAAATCGATATTAATTACACACACACATTCCCCATACACACACATATACACATTCACTTGCAACATCACCTATATACTTAAATCATCTCAAAAATCCCCCTACGAAGTGGTCCACGTGGACGCAGCAAATGGCCCTCTGGCTCAAAGCGAAGGTGAATCCCTCAATCCCTCGCTCTGCCCAGTGACGATCCAAGTTGGGCCCTCGACCTGGGTCCGCCCAGCGCACGCTGCTTGGCTGGGGGGAGCATCTCATGTGAAAAAAACAACCACTTTCGAGTGGTGTGAACAAGCCCTATACTGAAAAAAACGGAAGTCCCCTCTCAAATCCGCCGCGGAAATTCTAAAAAATATACAACTTTCGTGTGGGTACCTGTCACCGTCATTCTATCCATGAAAAGCTCGGCATCCTCGGCATCCCAGCGATCCTTCTGACCCAAGCTCCATCGACCTGGAAACGTTGCGGCCACGTCGGCGGTCGTCGGCGTCCGGAACGGCGCGCGTTGCTGAGCCATGCGCAAGTGTGGTGAGGGGGTGGGGGGGGCAGCCGGACAGAGGCTCAAAGAGTGGATCGGTTTGTGTCAGTTAGTCAGATGTTGGTCTCCCAGTGACTGAGCAGGTTCTTGGAATGAGTCGTTCCCATCTATAGGAAGCCGTTGGGAAGCTAACTCAGCTACTCTTCGGTTTCTGAGCATCCTGATGATATAGTTTCCTGAGTGTATGAGTTCAGGTTCACGCCAAAGAAGCAACAAACACTTTGCACTTCTCCGCGGCAATTTACATCAAGCGCGCAAACCACTGGTCAGTGTGGACTTGATCAAACTCCAAAGGATTTCCTCACAACCCTACTTGCAAAACTTGTTTTTCCCTGCAAGGGTGGCCATCAGCTGAACGACCGTGTCGTTCCTTCTTTTCGTGGAACGGCTCCCAATTGTCACGTTGGACCGACCAACTGCCCCGACCACGACCCACGATGGTGCCGTCTAGACGGAGGCGTTTGCTTCTCGTGAAGACGAGAACGCTCGGCTTCTGGTGGCGTTTTTCTAAGGCTGATCCCACATTATATTTACTTATAAAGGCTCTCTGCTATGAATGCCACGACTGAAGCTTTGAACAAGACGTCAATCGAGGGATCCCTTTGGTTCCAGGAAAGCCTCGACCAAGCCGTGAAATACAGGCTCATTAGTCGGACAATACACAGTGAACCCCGATGATTGGTTGATCACGCTGATCCAAAAGAGAGCGCTAGCCAAGCGGAGTTTCTGCCAAATCCACACGCCTGGGTTGGCTGAGGTAATTCCGCTGTCGTCGACGGCCATGTTGGATCCTGGCACATGGACACACTGAAATAAAGATGTGTTCCAAGAAAAGAAGTATTCTTGGGAGCATTGTCTAATGCTTTACCTCCTGGTGAACCACTTGGGCTTGTTGAGTGGGACTGCAAGGCACTCCGACTGCCCCCGGGTAGCCTCTGCAACGATGCTCCTCGCAGTCCCGGACGACTGAGGCTGAAAACGCGCTGCAGAGCAAGCAAAAAGGTGTGCTGTCAGTCGGGAAGAACGGAAGGAATAGTAAACGGCAGAAGAGAATCAACCACTTCCATGTACCCAGACACGACCCATGGGACTGCCATACATGGCTATATACATTGACCCCCCAGTGTCTGGGTCTTTGCTAGAGGGAGGGTGGCAGTTGCTCTCGACAGATCTGTAGCCTGGCTCAGGGGCGTGACAAAGCGTGCTTGGGAAGGATGGTAACTATGCTGGTGCACTGGCTGGCCGTGCTTGATAAGTTTGATGTGTAAAACACCTGGAGTTTAAAGTCTATTGAACACACATCCAACCGCAGTCTGCGATGGAGCTGCTAGGGCCTGGTGAGGCTGCTGGCTCAGGTGTTTCTCACTCTGAAATACTTTGACTGACAATCTACTCTCAAACCAACATGACCCAGGCCAACAGCATGTTTCACCAAATCCCGGACAAACATCCGGGACATCTCCAAATGACTTCTAGCAAATCAAGGAAAATGATCGGCTCTCGCATCAGTTCACACCCTTTCGCATCGGCTCTTTTTCGCGTTTTTTTGCATCAGTCCTGGACTCCCGCATATGTACAAACAGTGGGAATCTGTGGCCAGGAATCAATGAGTGACCGACCAACCAACCTCTCAAGTCCAGAAACCTCTGGCTGGACAAGGTCTACCAGACCTGGCTGTAATGGAGAATGGACAAGGTAGTTGGATCTGCATAGACCGGGTCAAAAACTAGACTATTTTGGTTGACCTACCTGGAAGGTCAAGCTACATGGTGGACCAGGGCTCCAGGTTTTGACCCACAGCCATAATCATCACCGACATAAACTAGCAACCTGGAAAAAAACAGTGACCATTGTGAAATCAGTCACCGGATTGCATGAAAAGGTTTGACAACAGGCCAAGCAAACGAAATACACTGCCACGCTCCTGGCAACTAAGTCATGACAAGGAGATTTGCTCTACGAGTACCAAGTGTCCATTAATAGTTTGTTTTATATTCCCTAACAATGGCCTCTCCAGTGCTAAGAAGCACCCATTCGGAATGGTTTAGTCGGCCAGCAGGCTGCGAGCTGCACACTTCCGGGGAGTCCCAGCTTTCGTGGGACGTTGCACAAGCCCTGCTGCATGTGAATTGAAGAGTGACATGATTTAAAGCTCACCTTTGGCTACGTAGCGATGAAGTAGAGATACAGTACCTTCAACTGACAAGACCAATGGCTTATCTTCATTTCAAGTGAAGTCAAAGCATGTTAGAGCTAAGATGGCACATTCCATGTTGACTTCAAGGATCAACCATCAATTGTATAACCCCGGTGTTGACCAATCCAAAATGACAAAGCCTTGCTGCATAGTGTTGCCATCCATCTTTTGGAAAGCCACTCTTCCGCCTTGGTACATGGGGTCCTCAAGCAGCTTCAGTATCTAACCGGGGGATGGATGTAGACCACACTTTGACCTCTCTGGACCCCATGACCAGCCACAAAGTGATCAGGGTGACTTGGTGCGGCCACCCTGCCCACGCACGGCATCTACTAGGCGCGATCTCCAAGCTGCCTCACATCCCTCACACATGGAAGTGTGGGCGTTCGGGCACCTGCAGCTTCTGACTTGCCATGCTTCAAGGATTCAAGGTCTTGCCGTCTCAACCCATGGAAAGCAACCCTCCACCAGTCGACAGTCTCCCCACTGCCGGCAAGGCTCCCGCACGCCGCGCCACGCGCGCCGAACCGCCGAGACCGAGACCGGCGACGCGGCGACTCGCGAAGTGTCGCGCCGGAAGCGCCTTAAGTCCATAGGGCTCAGGCTTCGAAGCCTTCTCCTCCTGGGAATCGGTACTTCGGTGGGGTTCAAGGCTTGCAAAGTGTCTGCCAATGGCCACGCCTCACACCTGTGTTCACATATGCGTTGGCATCAACCCAGTGCGGAACCCTTGGCAACCCAGGTTCGCATCAACAAAATGCGAAGCCAACACCAACGATCTGAAGCAATTGAAGCTTTAGGACGTCTCATGCCACGTCGAAACGTCGTCCTACTGCCGCCACGGCCGAACATGGCCACCGCAGCTAACACCGCTCACCTCCCGCGTCATGCCTTCCCCGTCCTTGAAACTCTTCAGTGCCTGCTGGAATCGCTCCTTGTCTGTCCTGGGCCGGGTGTGCGTGGCGTGCTGAAGCTGTTGACTTCAGAATGATCCCTCAGGAAAAAGGAAGAATGAACCTTAACCATTGACATGATTACCTCCATTTGTGTGTTTGCTCATCTCCAAGTTTACAAAGAAAAGTCACCATCCACGGCTGTGCTGATCCATAAATCCCCCACTTTCAAACAGGGAAGATCCCAAGAACATGCAACAACTTAATTCATGGACTTCTTTAGAACCGGATGGTGCTATATAGAATAATTCTGGCTATAGTCAGGACTTTAGTGGCTATAGTCATCTAGTTTCGCTCCTTTTTGTTGCCCCGCTTCAACCAGTCATAGACTCAGCCGAGCGAATTCGGCAGTTCGGCCCGGAACATGCGTGAAAGGCTGCGCATGACGGTCGTTCATTCCAAAGCGCACGGGGAGCGACCAGTTCCAAGCGACCAACTTGTTGCCCTTCAGCCTGGGGGTCCCTGGTTTTTGCTGCCCAGTTTTTTTGCTGTATCTCAAAGCAAGGGATAAAACATGGGTATTTCTGACTGCTTCGTGGTCCAAGTGGCGGCTCACCATGCGAATCAATGGCGAAGCGATCTTGCTGTTCCTGCCACACTGGCGAAAGCACCAAGCCCGGCTGAGCACCAAGCGCCATGGTTCTGAGTGTGTCCGAGTCCAAACAAGCATGAATATACACCAGTGAACACTAGACAGTGAGCATCACTGGGTGTGGACAACTTATTCTGTACACAGGTGTGATCAACTGAACCATCGTTGAATCTTTGGGAGTGGTCTGAAGACCTGGCTAGTGAATCGTACAAATCCAGACCTGGTCAATCGCACTCATTCCAAAGAACACGGTGAGTTGCTGCACACCCTGGATGAAACGTCAACATCTTCATCCAGCTTCTCCAACTGTTGGTTTCGCCCGTTCCCGTGAAACCCGTCTCTTTCCGAAACGCATGCGTACCCTGTGCCCAATCCAGTGCCCTGTCGACAAACAAAGTTGCTCACATAATCCAAAAGCAACAAAAGTATTAATCAAAGGAAGTTTAGAAGGAACTTCCGTGTTACGGACATTCAACAGCTGTCCAACCACCACTCATCATACACCACTCATCAGATTTCGTGGCAGGTGCAGCAATTTGTGAACCTCCATGTGCAGATTTCGTGGCAGGTGCAATACAAAATGCGTTTTCGAGAGATAGCGGACGCACGAAATGCTGTATTTTTCACTAGAACCGGTGGCTTCGAACCTGGCAAGTCTAGCTCTGCGGAACGACTGCTGCGAGACGGTCTCGGGTCATGCTCGGTCGGCCGTCCATTGTGATTAGGTTGTCACTTGTCTCTTGAAGTGCAGATTTCGTGGCAGGCGCAGCACTTTGTGAACCTCCATGTGCAGATTTCGTGGCAGGCGCAGCACTTTGTGAACCTCCAGGCACAGCACTTTGTGAACCTCCATGTGCAGATGTCGTGGCAGGTGCAGCACTTTGTGAACCTCCAGGTGCAGATTTCGTGGCAGGCACAGCACTTTGTGAACCTCGAGGTGCAGATTTCGTGTCAGGCACAGCACTCTGTGAACCTCCAGGTGCAGATTTCGTGGCGGGCACAGTACTTTGTGAACCTCCATGTGCAGATTTCATGTCAGGCACAGCACTTTGTCAACCTCCATGTGCAGATTTCGTGGCAGGCACAGTACTTTGTGAACCTCCATGCGCAGATTTCGTGGCAGGCACAGCACTTTGTGAACCTCCATGTGCAGATTTCGTGGCAGGCACAGCACTTTGTGAACCTCCATGTGCAGATTTCGTGGCAGGCACAGTGCTTTGTGAACCTCCAGGTGCAGATTTCGTGGCAGGCACAGCACTTTGTGAACCTCCATGTGCAGATTTCGTGTCAGGCACAGCATTCTGTGAACCTCCATGTGCAGATTTCGTGGCAGGCACAGGTGCAGATTTCGTGGCAGGTGCAGCACTTTGTGAACCTCCATGCGCAGATTTCGGGGCAGGCACAGCACTTGTGAACCTCCATGTGCAGATTTCGTGGCAGGCACAGCACTTTGTGAACCTCCATGTGCAGATTTCGTGGCAAGTGCAGCACTTTGTGAACCTCCATGTGCAGATTTCGTGGCAGGCACAGCACTTTGTGAACCTCCATGCAGATGTCGTGGCAGGCGCAGCACTTTGTGAACCTCCATGTGCAGATTTCGTGGCAGGTGCAGCACTTTTTGAACCTCCAGGTGCAGATTTCGTGGCAGGCACAGCATCTGGCAAGCTGGAAGCTGAGAACTGGCGACTTTGTAGTACAACTTTAGTACGCGGAGTATCTGGCGAGCTGGGCGATGAGAACTGGCGACTTTGTAGTACAACTTTCGTACGCGGAGTATCCGCGGAGCTGGAAGCTGAGAACTGGCGACTTTGTAGTACAACTTTAGTACGCGGAGTATCCGTGGAGCTGGAAGCTGAGAACTGGCGACTTTCTAGTACAACTCTAGTACGCGGAGCAATCTGTAGAGCTGGAAGCTGAGAACTGGCGACTTTCTAGTACAACTTTAGTACGCGGAGCAATCTGTAGAGCTGGAAGCTGAGAACTGGCGACATTGTAGTACAACTTTAGTATGCGGAGTATCTTGCAAGCTGGACGATGAGAGAACTGGCGACTTTGTAGTGCAACTTCAGTACGCGGAGCAATCTGTGCAGCTAGAAGCTGAGAACTGGCGACTTCGTAGTACAACTTTAGTGCACGGAGTATCTGGCGAGCTGGACGAGGAGAACTGGCTGACTTTCTACTACAACTTTAGTACATCTGTAGAGCTGGAAGCTGAGAACTGGCGACTTTGTAGTACAACTTTA